ATGGTGAATTCGAATCTGTGGGAGCCATTTTCCAGGTCTGACCCATCAATAAGTTCACGCACGCCCTACTTGGAGTCGTAACGCCACCCAAGCGGGAATCCGAATAGCAGACAATTGTTACACAAATTCACGCGGAACGTAGCCAGCGCGCGTTATTGGCCTGACTGACACGGTGCCTCGAAAACAATACGCTGGCGTCATAACCAAATTAGCCACTCTTGCAGATTACGTTATTGGTAACCGCATAGTCTATGTCAATATAAGGCATAGTATATGCCGGACCCCGGACTTGGAGTAGGCTGTCATCAGGAGAAGTGCTTTGCTGTAGGACCGATGGTCATTGTGCAATGATGTTCTCTCTCCCCGAGGCTGCCTTAGTTCCTAGCAGCTGGCCGGACGACTCCTTTGATCTCACAAGCAGTCCTAAAGATTTGCCCATCTGCTAATGAAAAGTCGTTGGCCGCTGAGCTGGGCGACCTGCGGGACCGAGTCTTGTCAAGTGCCCACAAAGTCCACATGTTTGCGAGCCGCGGTCTGGAATATGCAAGACGACCGTAGTACAAACCGAGTGTAATGCGCCTCTTCACAACATCTAACATTCTTGTCTCCATGAACTCGTTATGAGCTCACGTGTAGTTCTGTTCCAAATCCCACGTGGTCCTATGACGACTTACTAGCAAATAGGTTAGTGCATAAGATCAGGTGCGGTGTTAGCCGATATTAGATGGTCGCAGTGTCTATTAAATGCACCACCAAGGTTCAGTTAGGCCTGACTCCACTCGAAAGGGATTGGAGAGAAAACCAGGTGACCCACTGGAGGCGGAGGACATGAGTATCACGTCCTAAGAAGCCTCTCCGAGCCTTAGTTTCAGTTCTTCCTCGGATTTTAATTCGAATTTCGCGGGCGGGGCGGAGCCCTAGAGTCATACTCGCCAGGCCTAGCAGGCATCTACCAGTAACTGTCACACCAGGCACGTGCCTTAGAACTTCGAGCACCACTAGGACCTAAGGGGCGTTAGATTCCATCACTCAGTACTAGATATAGAGTTAGGGGCATCGACCGCGATTGTAGCTTACTGGGTGCAGATGGTGGCCCCTTGCGCTCTTCGCACTCGGACGATGAGGTGCGGTATATCGAGACGCCAGATGCACTGGGATAACATTCTAATCTCAAACTGGAAGCGCTCGTGTCAACGTCCTTTTGCGCATACAGACGGTAGTATGAAGTCGGTCAATCAACTCTACTGCATAGTCGTCACCAGGAATATGCACACGACCTCGTCGCGCGCCGCCGAATCTAGACGATAATTACATGCTATATGCGAAAGAGGATAACTCCAGAGGTAACTGGTCCTTTGGTCCGGGTAGCACTCGCCTCACTGTAACGCGACATGATTATCATTGCCGTTCCTCAGTTGCGAAGCAGAGTATGGATTGTAATCGTGAAAGATAAAGGAGCCGAATAAGCGAGCTAGGCAGAGCACGGCGGTCCTATTTGCATAAACTGATAAATCAGGTGTTGAGGCCACAGGGGTCAGACAGCAATGACATGTGCCATTATACTTGGGGAAGAGCCTAGGTCCCGCATAGACACTGATCCCTCCTATATGGCTTACCTAGGGAGAAAACCCCGCAGATTCGCGCAAGCAACAGCCGCAGGACACCTGAGCACCGATATATGATCCACCATAAGCTTGGCATCAAGAACCCCGGCCCAGTTAGCCTACTATGGATACCAATGCGGTCTCTTAGTCTGGTGATTACCAAGCAGGAAACTAGAATGAACGAAATTATCGCGGGGAGAAAAAAGTTGGCTTTACTAGAATAAAGCTTTCCCACAGACAGATGTACGCCCGGAGGACTTAGAACTTGACGCTCAGCGGGTTCGTATTTATCACCGCCGCCTTGACTGGATACCGCGCTTAGTTAGCGTACCGATTGAACGCATAGGTTTTGCATGGCTAGGGAAAGACTTGCATGGCGTGTTCCGTACTCTCGGCAATACCGAGCATGGTTCGTGTGCGTTGAGACAGGCCGAGTCCACATGCGCTCCCCCACACTAGCGTCTACGCTTAAGAACTGAAGGGCTATTTCCTGCTTACCCGTCCCCCCCCGTACATCGACCCGGGTGTCTTCGTGATGGCAGCGGAAATCGGCGATCGCTCGCAAGCCGTCTTGGTCGGTAAAGTCCACATTAGCAAAATACATTGGACGGGGGGGCCACTAGACCGGATCATTTCGGATCTGGCGATGCGTGCAGACAACTTTTCACCTAAAGGCTTGCGATCAACTCCTTTGCGCTTCCACGGCTGTTCGCTGAGCAGGGCGCTCGTTTGAGATGGAGGCAATCTATTTGCACGGTCGTCCGTTCATACAGCGTAGCCTGAAGAGAACCGATTTTGTTCCTGTTCGGCGAAATCTCGATGCCACGTTATCACCAAATACGGAACAGGTATTGTGCCTAAGCTTGGCAGTGTCTCATTCTGCACCTGAAGACGGCTGCTTGCGTTGTAGCCGAAACGTCGTGAGAATTATTTTATTTTATTATGTTTTATTTTTATTATTTTATTATTCCATTCTACGTGACTTTACCGAAAGAACCAAGAAGATGAATCCCTGCAGTCACGAAAGCTTTAAATCGAAAAAGCTTTAGGGTGGTCAGTGTGTGCAGGACGGGTAAGGGCCGATTGCCGATACAGGCGTTGTAATGGTCTCCACGAGTTTGGACAACTCAAGGCAAAGATCTGAGACAAGATCGTGGGATACTCCGATCAAAGAAATCATGGCCCCAAAGTGAGAGGGCCAGGAGGTATGCAGTCAACAATGCTTGCCTCAGGGAGGAGGACGCCCCTGCCATGCATAGTCCCACGGGATGTTGGCTATCAACAACAAGGCAACTCCTACGACTAATTGGGAATGTGACGCAAGCGTAGGATTGATCGCCCTGTCGCTGGCCGCCTTTGGGGAGGGTGTATCGTGTGAAAGGCCGAAACACCCTAGGAACCAAAGGTTCACTACTGACGATGCGCTCCCCAAATGTCACCAGGCTCGCTGTTCGTGAACTCTTGGAAGTGCTTGCACAAAGGATAGTAACATCTCATCCTGTGTTCTTTGGAATCTGGAATTGTTGACGTGACTCGGGGCTGCTCGTGCGTACGCTTGCTGCCCCGCCACGCTTGGAGCAAGAGAAAAATGTGCGTGACATCATCGTCATCGTCAGCAGCGTTGTTTAACCTGCCGCGCCGGGAGATCAAACGGGACTGCGAGTCTGGTGCACTCACCGTCTGCACCGCTGGCAGCATCACCTCGTCACGCGTCGTGAGAACGACGTCAGATCTCATCTTGCCCGCTGCCCCGCCTGTTCAGTTCGCTTGGACGGCATCACGCCCGACACACTTGCTAGCAGTTCTTCATCGACCTAACGTATATATACGTCAACATCAATGGACAAAACAAGTCCCATTGCATCATTCTTTGGTTCTTTCGGTAAAGTCACGTATAAAGATAAAATAGTGAATTAAATTAAATACTTGCACAAAGGATAGTAACATCTCATCCTGTGTTCTTTGGAATCTGGAAGTTGCGTCGTGTTGTGTGCTGCGGGTCATGGTGCAGGTGCACACAGTGGGGGATGAGTCACGTGGTGCCACCTTGGAGGCGGTGGTCAGCAGAATGAAGACGCTTCACAATCTTGTCCCTCCAACCTACACGAAGGACGCACTTCAACCGCCGCATGCCTGTGCCGGAGTGCGGATCGTCGCCCTGTCAGCCACCATTCCCAATATCGAAGACGTGAGTTGGCGGACTTATTTGACGCTAGCGGAAGCACCCGGCGTTGCCCGGGTGAAAACAATATTCCTTAAAAAGCTTACACATATACACAGATAAAGCTTGATTTAAAGCTTTCGTGACTGCAGGGATTCATCTTCTTGGTTCTTTCGGTAAAGTCACGTAGAAGGGAAGTAATACAATAATAAAAATAAAACATAATAAAATAATTCTCACGACGTTTCGGCCACAACGCAAGCAGCCGTCCTCAGGTGAAGAGCAGGTCTGTCGGGGAGACAGCGTCTGAATTAAACAGCACACGCGCTTGGAGCATATATATATGTAGTACTAATCACATTCCTGCATTTCCCATAAATATGCTGAATTCCTCTTGATATGCAAATTATTTTGTCGAAGCGCCCTTTCCTCCCCTCCCAACCCAGCTTAAATATATGCTCCAAGCTCGTGTGCTGTTTCATTCAGACGCTGTCTCCCCGACAGACCTGGTTTTCACCTGAGGACGGCTGCTTGCGTTGTGGCCGAAACGTCGTGAGAATAATTGTATTATGTTTTATTTTTATTATTTTATTACTTCCCTTCTACGTGACTTTACCGAAAGAACCAAGAAGATATACACAGATACTAAGGTATTGTCAAAGGCCGGTGGGCCGTTTGTACATTTCTCCACAACAAATACATGAGAGGCTTGCACAAGTCCAAAAAGTTGTAGAAAGTGTGGGGTCAATAGTTGATGCAAAAGGTTTCAGAAAATTGTGGACCCCCCGCCCCTCAAAACATATCTTTACCCTCGTAGGTATATATACTAACAACACCTTACATACAACAGAGGAAGTGGTATCTATTGACTCTGTAGTAGTATCTACTGACTGTACCCTAGTATCTACTGAGCCAGTAGTAGCTACTGACTGTGTAGTAGTATTTAGTGACTGCAGTAGCTACTGACCATAGTAGTATTTACTGGGCCTACAGTAGTATCTACCGACTATATAGTAGTAACGATTATTTAAACATATATTGCTATAATTATGATTTGAAGCTTTCGTGACTGCAGGGATCCATACTCTTTGGTTCTTTCGGTAAAGTCACGTAGGTATAAAATAAATTGTATTTTATTGCTCTACCACTGAGTCACCTGGCTTTTAATCAAATCTTGTCGCAATATATATACTCAGTCAAAAGGCTGCGAGTTAAAATCCTCGTTGGGGGGGGGGGGGGCTGATTCGTTCCGTAGTCCTTCGGGGGTCAGTAAAATCAGTGTCACTTTGTGGGGAAGTCAATATTGATCGTTGGTTTTTTACCCTTTTATCTGGCAACAAAACCGACACCTTTTTTTGCAAGCAGTCATGTTTGTAATATTACGAGAGTTGCGTTTTTCGTTTGCATTCCGACCGCAGGTATTGTGGTCAATGCAAACATGACTCCTTGTAAAAAAGGTGTCAGTTTTGTTGCCAGATAAAAGGGTAACATTTTTTAAAAATCATATTTTGCTACTGGCAAAGGAGGTTCCAATGGTGAAGTCAATGTTTGTTCTACGGATGGATAAGAGTGTGGAATGTTCACCGCTGACTCAGGGCTGTCAACAGGATATGAGCACCGCCTCAATGCTGATTTGAGTAACAAAAATAACTTTGAATTGTATTTGCCTTACGTGACCTCCACGTCGACTGTAAACCAGTCGCGTTTCATTTGTAACATCAACCGTGAAAGGGATTTGTGTCACCGTAATCAAGTTGCACGCGGGCAAATGGCCACACATTCTTGGCTCTTTTGGTAAAGTCACGTAGAAGGGAAGTAATAAAATAATAAAAATAAAACATAATAAAATACAATTCTCACGACGTTTCGGCCACAACGCAAGCAGCCGTCCTCGGGTGAAAACCAGGTCCGTCGAGGCGACAGAGTCTGAATGAAACAGCACACATTCATTTTGACTTACATCAATACAATATGGAGAGGTATGCACCCTCTCAATGCATTTTCATTAATATTTGAACTCAGGGGCGGTTTCTTCATTAGGGCGATTGGGCGACGCACCACCAATGTCATTGAACCACAGAGTCACGCTAGCCGTCACTGCAGCCTCTGGATATAGTCCAATCAGCGTCATGTCACGTTCTGTGGAGTACCGCCTCTTTTGGGGCGATTTCACTCCGGCTGAGAATCGCCCGAGTGGCCCCATAGACTTGCATTGAAAGATGTTTTTTTTCGAACGGCGGGCGCTCCCATGCATTCTCTACGGCTTCCGGGAGGGCTCGCCCTAACGTGCTTACGTCAGCATACGTGCTAACGTCATCATACGTAAGCACGTTTCATCCAACAATATAATTTGTGGCCACCTAGTGGAATCTTTAATAAAATTAACTTGAGTGGTTTGTTTTAATAGTGAGTATAGAAACAAACAAGATGTATTGTAAGAGTCACTTTATTTTTCATTAATATTAAAGAAGTGAAGTTGCCTTTACATGCTTAAGCTGTTAATTTATCCATTGCATGGGTGGAGCTTATCCTTATCAATCATCCAGACATTTGCCCCCCCTGAGAGATTTTGCAGGAGCCGCCACTGTTTGAATGTCCTCTACACATTCTCTCTCCAGGTTGCCGAGTGGCTGTCTGATAGGGATGGAACGGCCACCTTCATAAAATTGGGCGAAAAACATCGCCCTGTGAAACTTCGCAAAATCGTGTTGGGATTTCCTTTCTATCGTGCGCAGACGGCCTTTAAGTTCGACTTGATACTCAACTACAAGCTGGCAAGAATTATACAAACATATTCTGAGCAGAAGCCAACGCTCATTGTGAGTGCACGTGTTCTTTGTTGTTCCAAGTCAAAATGGCATGATCAGTTCTAGATTTGAAGCTTTCGTGACTGCAAGGATTCATATTCTTAGGTTGTTTCGGTAAAGTCACGTAGAAGGGAAGTAATAAATAATAAAAATAAAACAATAATAAAACATAATAAAATAATTCTCACGACGTTTCGGCCACAACGCAAGCAGCCGTCCTCAGGTGAAGAACAGGTCTGTCGATAAGACAGAGTCTGAATGAAACGTCCTCGGCTTGGAGCGTCTATTTAAGCCTAGGACGTGTCATTCAGACTCTGTCTTATCGACAGACCTGGTTCTTCACCTGAGGACGGCTGCTTGCGTTGTGGCCGAAACGTCGTGAGAATTATTTTATTATGTTTTATTTTATTATTTTATTACTTCCCTTCTACGTGATGACTTTACCGAAAGAACCAAGAAGATGAATCCCTGCAGTCACGAAAGCTTTACATCGAAATGCAAGGATTCATATTCTTAGGTTTTTTCGGTAAAGTCACGTAGGTAAAAAAAAAATTAAATTAAAATTAATAAAAGTAAAATAAAATAAAAATCACGACGTTTCGGAGGCAACACAAGCTTCCGTCTTCAGGTGGAACCGTCACAGCCACGACAGCGTATCAAGTAATGAGAGATTGCAAGAGCTACCACTCCGTATATATGATGGTTGGTTTAATAAAAAGAGTGGTAGCTCTTGCAATCTCTCATTTACTTGATACGGCTGTCGTGGCTGTGACGGTTCCACCTGAAGACGGAAGCTTGTGTTGCCTCCGAAACGTCGTGATTTTTATTTTATTTTACTTTTATTAATTTTAATTTAAAATTTTTTTACCTAAGTGACTTTACCGAAAAAACCTAAGAATATGGCATGATTAGTTTAATTGCATATTTTTTTAGTAGTTTCATATTTTGCATGCAAAACACGTGAATGTGGAATGTCATAAGGTGTGTAAGGCCTCCATTGGCACGTACATAGCAAACAGGAAATGCCATGTGTTGGTAAGCGAACACTTATGAAGACCGGCATAAGCACACGAGGGGTGGGTGGGTGGGCAGCGTCACCACACCGGACCGCCTTTGTTTCCCCAGTGCTGATGTTTCAGTACCACGGCAGGTACTCATTTGAGGCTGAGTAGACCTAAGGGAGGCCCAGAATTGGTTCAAATGTTCACCCTTGCTTTTGATCATGAGCGGGAATCGAACTTGGGTGACAGGGGTTTGTAGCACAGTTCACTAACCAGCACTCCCCACTCGCAGATACAATCACACAAAGACAATATCCGCTAAAGATGTCTTGGGTGTGGACCAATCAACTTCAAGGGCAGTGCATATTATTATCATCATCAGAGTAGTTTCTTTTGTTTGCATTGTGACTGCTTGTGTTGTGGTTATTGCAAACATGATGCCTTGTATGAAGGTGTCAGTTTTGTACCAGTTGAAAGGGTAAAACCTACTACTATATTTTGCCACTGGTAAAGGAGACGTCTCATAGTGTAAATGCTTCACCCCGAGCTCTCAATACTCTGATGGTGCGCTGTTTTGAGTTGTACGCCTTTTGGTCATCTGGTCCAACACCAATGGAGACTAGGCTCTAAGGAAAGCTGTCTCGGGTGTGGACCAATCAACTTCAAGGACAGTGCATACATTATCAGAGTTGTTTCTTTTTGTTTGCATTTGACTACTTGTGTTGTGGTTATTGCAAACATGATGCCTTGTATAAAGGTGTCAGTTTTGTACCAGTTGAAAGGGAAAAAACCTACTACTACGACAATATCCGCTGTTGAGTCTTTACAAGACTGGGCAAGCACCTGTAGAGGCCATACATATATACGCTTGCACACACAAGACGCTATAAAAGTTTGCATTTATACAGTGAATATCATACCTAGTCAATCAGACATATATACATTTTTAAATGGTTTAGGCCTTAGATATTTCACGTGTAAGTTTATGCCTTTGGAAGCAGGCATACTTTTGAATGGTGTGATTATTTCAAGGACAGTGCATACATTATCAGAGTTATGTTTACACTATGGGGACCTCATTTGCCAGTAAAAATATGATAATTGGTTCTTTACCCTTCTATCTGGCAATGCATACATTATCAGAGTTATGTTCTTTTGTTTGTATTATGACTGCAGGTATTGCGGTCTATGCAAACATGACTCCTTGCAAAAAGGTGTCAGTTTTGTTGCCAGATAGAAGGGTAAAGAACCAATTATCAGAGTTATGTTTGTTTTGTTTGCATTCCGACCGCAGGTATTGTGGTCTATGCAAACATGACTCCTTGTAAAAAAAAGGTGTCAGTTTTGTTGCCAGATAGAAGGGTAAAAAACCAATGATCGGTGTGGTTATTCTTTTACAGTTCTGTGCGACCAGAAGAAGTGTCCAGCTGGCTGCAGCCACGCTGGCTAAAGATGCCAAATTCATGATTGATTCCCAGCACAGGCAGAGGTAGGAGTGGGAATTGGCAAATGTTCTGTGATTAAGATGTTGGTGTTAAAGTAAGAGTCAAGGTGCCGTCCTGAAATCCCTTGTTCGAGCCACTGCTGGTGTTCACCTCCGCTTGAGAGAGGAAAATATAGTCTTAGGTTTTTTCGGTAAAGTCACCGTGTAGGTAAAACATTAAAATTAATGAAAGTAAAATAAAATAAAAAATAAAAATCACGACGTTTCGGAGGCAACACAAGTTTCCGTCTTTTTTTAAATCCTTTATATTAAGTTCACTTGTTTGCTTGCTTGCTTACGACCGTGCAAATCTTTCGGTCGTTTTTTAACCCACTTCCCGTGATCCAATCGAGCTGACATTTTGCACACAGACTCGTTGTGCGAGACAATTAATGTTCGTGAAATTTTTTTCCAAAATTTTACACTGTTTAGGGAAAACAAATTAAATATTTAATGACCAATTGCTTAATACTGGCAGACAATCATCTGACCCATAGGTGGCAGCCATCTCAAGCCAGAGGACGAGAGGACTCTAGCCGCCACGCATATAAAGGATTTATAGTGAAAAACTTTGTTTTTACGGGTTACAATTAAAATAAAATAAAAAAAATCACGACGTTTCGGAGGCAACACAAGCTTCCATCTTCAGGTGGAACCGTCACAGCCACGACAGCCGTATCAAGCAAATGAGAGATCACAAGAGCTACCACTCCGTATATATAATGGTTGAGGCGGGAAGGGCCAGGAACGGCACACTTGTTATTATTAATATTTATTAATAACATGCTCCACCAAACTTGCAGCCATAGCTGGCAGCAAGGTGATCAAGGGGAGAGATTGACACACGTGATTGTGGAAATTCCACACTTCCATGATGGCGCCAAGTCCATCCGTAGTGCCATATCACTTAAGGGATGAGCGCGCAACACACATCATCATCGTCATCAGCCATCATCAATCCACTGCTGGATGAAAAACCAAACGATATTTTGTGTTCAGTGTGCCGTGAAGATGGCAGTAAGCTCAAAGGTTTGTGCCGTGGAATGAAACGTGTTGAGTAGCGCTGCTCTAGAGGGATAATGGTCTATCTTCTTGGTTCTTTCGGTAAAGTCGTCACGTAGAAGGGAAGAATAAAATAATAAAAATAAAACATAATAAAACAATTCTCACGACGTTTCGGCCACAACGCAAGCAGCCGTCCTCAGGTGAAAACCAGGTCCGTCGAGGCGACAGAGTCTGAATGAAACAGCACACGGGCTTGGAGCATATATATAAGCTGGGCGCATTGACAAAGGAATTTGCATATCAACAGGAATTTAGCATATTTATGGGAAATGCAGGAATGTGATTAGTACTGCATATGCATGTGCATTATGCAGGATTAACAGCATCAAAGGGAGCTGCAGTTACTGCTGCTGCAGCAGTTGCTGCTGCTGCTGGACTTTACCGAAAGAACCAAGAAGATGAATCCCTGCAGTCACGAAAGCTTTAAATCGATCAGGGTCTACTCTGTCACATTGACCAGACGTGATGGGAGAGGCAGGCGTACCCACACTTTACCCCACTACGCGCCACCTGCCGGCTTGTGTGTTTATACACTGCTCAGTGGGCACGGGCAGTGGTGGGGAGGGGGGTTAAAACAACGTGCACCGTTGTTTAAAAGATCGTGAGTGAGTGGAGTGAGTAGAAAGTGAATGAGTGGGTGAGTAAGTGAGTGGGTGAGTGGGTGAGTGAGTGGGTGAGTGGGTGAGTGAGTGAGTGGGTGAGTGGGTGAGTGAGTGAGTGGGTGAGTGAGTGAGTGGGTGAGTGAGTGAGTGGGTGGTGGTGAGTGAGTGAGTGGGTGGATGCGTGAGTGAGTGAGTGGGTGAGTGAATGAGTGAATGGGTGAGTGGGTGAGTGAGTGGAGTGAGTGAGTGGAGTGAGTGGGTGGGTGAGTGAGTGAGTGGATGAGTGAGTGGGTGAGTGGTGAGTGAGTGAGTGGGTGAGTGAGTGAGTGGGTGAGTGTGTGGGTGAGTGAATGAGTGAGTGGGTGAGTGAGTGGGTGAGTGGGTGAGTGAGTGGGTGAGTGGGTGAGTGGGTGGGTGAGTGAGTGGGTGAGTAGGTGAGTGAGGGAGTGAGTGAGTGGGTGAGTGGGTGAGTAGGTGAGTGAGGGAGTGAGTGAGTGGGTGAGTGAGTGAGTGAGTGAGTGGGTGAGTGAGTGGGTGAGTAGGTGAGTGGGTGAGTAGGTGAGTGAGGGAGTGAGTGAGTGGGTGAGTGAGTGGGTGAGTAGGTGAGTGAGGGAGTGAGTGAGTGAGTGAGTGGGTGAGTGAGTGAGTGGGTGGGTGAGTGGGTGGTGGGTGAGTAGGTGAGTGAGTGAGTGGGTGAGTGAGTGGTTGGTGGGTGAGTAGGTGAGTGAGTGGGTGAGTGGGTGAGTGGTGAGTGAGTGAGTGGGTAGGTGAGTGGGTGGTGGTGGGTGAGTGAGTGGGTGAGTGAGTGGGTGAGTAGGTGAGTGGGTGAGTGGGTGAGTGAGTGAGTGGGTGGGTGGGTGGGTGGGTGAGTGGGTCAGTGAATGAGTGAGTGAGTGGGTGAGTGAGTGAGTGGTGAGTGGGTGGGTGGGTGAGTGAGTGGTGAGTGAGTGAGTGGGTGAGTAAGTGAGTGGGTGAGTGGGTGTGTGGGCGAGTGGGTGGGTTAGTGGGTGGGTGAGTGAGTGGGTGGGTGGTGAGTGGGTGGGTGAGTGAGTCGGTGAGTGGGTGAGTGAGTGAGTGGGTGAGTGAGGGAGTGGGTGAGTGAGTGGGTGAGTAAGTGAGTGAGTGAGTGGGTAAGTGAGTGGGTAAGTGAGTGAGTGAGTGAGTGAGTAGAGAGTGGGTGGGTGAGTGGGTGAATGAGTGAGTGTGAGTGGGTGAGTGAGTGGGTGGGTGAGTGTGAATGAGTGAGTGAGTGAGTGAGTGGGTGAGTGAGTGAGTGAGTCGGTGGATGAGTGGGTTAGTGAGTGAGTGAGTGAATGGTTGAGTGGGTGGGTGAGTGAGTGAATGAGTGAGTGGGCTGGGTTGGTAAGTGGGTGGGTGAGTGGATGGTGAGTGAGTGAGCGAATGAGTCGGTGGGTGAGTGAGTGAGTGAATGAGTGAGTGAGTGGGTGAGTGGGTGAGTGGGTGAGTGAATGAGTGGGTGAGTGAGTGAATGGGTGAGTGGGTGAGTGAGTGGGTGGTGGTGAGTGAGTGAGTGGGTGAGTGAGTGAGTGAGAGAGTGAGTGAGTGAGTGAGTGGGAGAGAGTGAGTGAGTGAGTGGGTGAGTGAATGAGTGAGTGAGTGGGTGAGTGAATGAGTGAGTGAGTGGGTGAGTGAATGAGTGAGTGAGATGAGTGAATGGGTGAGTGAGTGAGTGAGTGGAGTGAGTGAGTGGGTGAGTGAGTGGGTGAGTGTGAATGAATGAGTGATGAGTGAGTGGGTGAGTGTGAATGAGTGAGTGAGTGGGTGAGTGAGTGAGTGTGAGTGAGTGGGTGAGTGAGTGGGTGAGTGAGTGAGTGTGAGTGGGTGAGTGGGTGAGTGAGTGGGTGGGTGAGTGGGTGAGTGAGTGAGTGGGTGAGTGGGTGAGTGAATGAGTGGGTGAGTGATGAGTGGGTGAGTGGTGAGTGGGTGAGTGAGTGAGTGGTGGTGAGTGGTGAGTGGTGAGTGGTAAGTGGTGAGTGAGTGAGTGAGTGGGTGAGTGAGTGGGTGAGTGAGTGAGTGAGTGGGTGAGTGAGTGGGTGAGTGAGTGAGTGGGTGAGTGAGTGGGTGAGTGAGTGGTGAGTGGTGGGTGAGTGAGTGAGTGGTGAGTGGTGAGTGAGTGGTGAGTGAGTGAGTGAGTGGTGAGTGAGTGGGTGAGTGAGTGAGTGGGTGAGTGAGTGGGTGAGTGAGTGGTGAGTGAGTGAGTGGTGGTGAGTGGTGAGTGAGTGGGTGAGTGGTGAGTGGTGAGTGAGTGAGTGGTGAGTGAGTGAGTGGTGAGTGAGTGGTGGTGAGTGAGTGGTGGTGAGTGGTGAGTGAGTGGTGGTGAGTGAGTGGGTGAGTGAGTGAGTGGGTGAGTGATGAGTGGGTGAGTGAGTGGTGGTGAGTGAGTGAGTGGTGAGTGAGTGAGTGGTGAGTGAGTGAGTGGGTGAGTGAGTGAGTGGGTGAGTGAGTGAGTGAGTGGGTGGGTGAGTGAGTGAGTGGGTAAGTGAGTGAGTGGGTGAGTGAGTGAGTGGGTGAGTGAGTGAGTGAGTGAGTGAGTGGGTGAGTGAGTGAGTGGTGGTGAGTGAGTGGTGAGTGGTGAGTGAGTGGGTGAGTGAGTGAGTGGGTGAGTGGGTGAGTGAGTGGGTGAGTGAGTGAGTGGGTGAGTGAGTGAGTGGGTGAGTGAGTGAGTGAGTGGGTGAGTGAGTGGGTGAGTGGGTGAGTGAGTGAGTGAGTGGGTGAGTGAGTGAGTGGGTGAGTGAGTGGTGAGTGAGTGAGTGAGTGGGTGAGTGAGTGAGTGGGTGAGTGAGTGAGTGAGTGAGTGAGTGGCTGAGTGAGTGAGTGAGTGAATGAGTGAGTGAGTGGGTGAGTGAGTGAGTGAGTGGGTGAGTGAGTGAGTGGGTGAGTGAGTGAGTGGGTGAGTGAGTGGTGAGTGGGTGAGTGAGTGAGTGAGTGAGTGGGTGAGTGAGTGAGTGGTGAGTGAGTGAGTGGTGAGTGAGTGAGTGAGTGGTGAGTGAGTGGGTGAGTGAGTGAGTGGGTGAGTGAGTGAGTGAGTGAGAGTGTGAGTGAGTGGGTGAGTGCATGAGTGAGTGAGATGAGTGAATGGGTGAGTGGAGTGAGTGAGTGGTGAGTGAGTGGGTGAGTGGTGAGTGGATGAGTGAATGAGTGAGTGGGTGAGAGGGTGAATGAGTGAGTGATGGTGAGTGAGTGGGTGAGTGAGTGGTGAGTGTGAGTGGGTGAGTGGAGTGGGTGAGTGAGTGGGTGGTGAGTGGGTGAGTGGTGGTGAGTGGGTGAGTGGTGAGTGAATGAGTGGGTGAGTGAAAGTGGGTGAGTGGGTGAGTGAATGAGTGGTGAGTGGTGAGTGGTGGTGAGTGGGTGAGTGAGTGGGTGAGTGAGTGGGTGAGTGAGTGGGTGAGTGAGTGGTGGGTGAGTGAGAGTGGTGAGTGAGTGGGTGAGTGAGTGATGAGTGGGTGAGTGAGTGAATGAGTGAGTGATGGGTGATGAGGTGAGTGGGTGAGTGGTGAATGAGTGAGTGGTGAGGGGTGAAGTGAGTGGTGAGTGAGTGGGTGAGTGAGGGAGTGAGTGAGTGGATGAGTGGGTGGAAGGTGGAATTGATTAGATCTAGCGTGCTCACCACTACACCATATACCGATCATTTATTGTCATTTCAGACTGCAGGTGCATGCTTCTTACCTGAAGGATATCAAGCTGAGAGGTACGCTTGTAAAGCCCTCACTGTGCTTGTTAACGAGGATGAAAATAATTGCATCGAAATATCAAGCAAACATTCGTGTCATTTGTTTTATTACTGTTGTAGATTTGCTGACGAAAGGAATTGCATACCATCATGCAGGAATGGAATGTCTGATAGAAGAAACATTGAAGACGTTTTCTGCGAGGAGAACTGCCAGTACTGTGTACGTAAAACATGATAATACTTTATTCATGGAGAGATTGTAGATTAGTCTATGAGGCATCTCCTTTACAGTGTACCAGTGAAAGGTAAAACCTACTACTAGATGTAGATTGATATACGTGTCCATGCATCAGGTTGCATGCGGCTTGTGAAATTAGTAGGGTCTGTCATGTGTGCATATTTCAGGATTACAAACCCATACTGAGCCATATATACTAATAACCCAAAACCTATTATGAGCATCTAGCAACATTGCCCCATCCGCGAAACTACTGCAGAATGTGTGCAAACACAGCGTTCTTTCGTGATCGCCTTGTGATGAAAGAATGGTGCAAATACAGAGTGTGTTTGTTTGTCTTCTTGGTTCTTTCGGTAAAGTCACGTAGAAGGAGTAAGAAAAATAAAAATGAAACATAATAAATTACATAATAATTATTATGTAAATTTATTATTGTATTACTTTCCATTCTACGTGACTTTACCGAAAGAACCAAGAAGATGAATCCCGCAGTCACGAAGCTTTAAATCAAAAGTTTATTATTATTATGTTACAATTTGTTATTTATTATTTCCCTTCTACGTGACTTTACCGAAAGAACCAAGAAGATGAATCCCTGCAGTCACGAAAGCTTTAAATCAAAAGTTATTATTTATTATGTTACAATTTTTTATTTTATTATTTCCCTTCTACGTGACTTTACCGAAAGAACCAAGAAGATGAATCCCTGCAGTCACGAAAGCTTTAAATCAAAAGTTTATTATTTTATTATGTACATTTTTGTTATTTTATTATTTCCCTTCTACGTGACTTTACCGAAAGAACAAGAAGATGAATCCCTGCTGCAGTCACGAAAGAACTTTAAATCAAACTGTGTTGTTTGATTTCTCTGCAGTCTCCACAAGTCACTGCTATGGGTGTCAACCTTCCTGCCCTGGTCATCGTCAAATCGACGATGCACTACACCGGGGGAGGCATGCTGCAAGAATATAGGGACACAGATATTCTACAGATGATTGGCAGGCAGGAAGACCGCAGGTAGATGCACATCTTCTGTATATGTGGTTCAAACATCCTTACTTTCTGAACTAAGTACGGTAAAACTTTGGATTGCGAACATAATTCGTACCGTAAATGTGTTTGTAATCTAGAGCACTCGTATAGTTAAAGGAAGTAATAAAGTAATATAATATAACATAATAATATAATATAATAATATAATATAATAAAATAATATATAAAATAATAAAATAATATGATCATATTATAATATTTCGATTTAAAGCTTTCGTGACTGCAGGGATTCATCTTCTTGGTTCTTTCGGTAAAGTCACGTAGAAGGGAAATAATAAAATAATAAAAATAAAACATATAAAATAATTCTCACGACGTTTCGGCCACAACGCAAGCAGCCGTCCTCAGGCGAAACCAGGGCTGTCCATAAGACGAGTCTGAATGACACGTCCTAGGCTTGGAGCGTCTATTTAAGCTGGGAGGAGGATGAAGAGCGCCTTGACAAAATCATTCCCAGCTTAAATAGACGCTCCAAGCCGAGACGTTTCATTCAGACTGTCTTATCGACGGACCTGTTTTCACCTGAGGACGGCTGCTTGCGTTGTGGCCGAAACGTCGTGAGAATTATTTATTGTGTTTTAATTTTTATTATTTTACTTCTACGTGACTTTACCGAAAGAACCAAGAAGACACTCTTATAGTATCAGTTGTGATCGCGTGACGCTCGGCAGACAAAGCGTACACACGCACTGCTCGTATTGCAAGACCTCGCTCGTTCATCAAATTAATATTTATTTAAAAAATTTGCTCGTCTTGCAAAAACTCGCAGATCAAATTATTCGCACCAAAGTTTTACTGTATCCGTTCTAAAAACTAAATGCATTGTGCACAAATGTATTGGTTTATTGGATCCATCTCTTGAAACCCATCATGTGGACAATGCAGCATCTATTTGAAGAGGTCAATTTCTTGCTATTGATGTGATGCTCATCTCCTACTTACAGCCCTCGGCCAGGGTGGACCTCCTCAATTCCAATGGAATGAGAGTCTTTCCAAAGGACAACCAATGTAGATTTTCACAAAGTGATACTTATTTTATCGACCACAGAGGGATGATGGGCTGAGTCAACCTCTAGCCATGAGTTGAAACGCACAGACGATTGCAAGACGGCCGCTCACCTCTGAGCCACATGGCTGGTTCTGCAGATGAACTGTACACTTACTCAGTTATGAATGTGTCATTTTATCGACAAAGAGGGATGGGCTGAGTCAACCTTAGCCATGAGTTGAACGCACAGACGATTGCAAGACGGCCGCTCTACCTCTGAGCCACATGGCTGGTTTGCAGGATGAACTGTTACACTTGCTTAGTTATGAATGTTCATTTTATCGACCAAAGAGGATGATGGGCTGAGTCAACCTCTAGCCATGAGTTGAACTCACAGACGATTGCAAGACGCCGCTCTACCTCTGAGCCACATGGCTGGTTCTGCAGGATGAACTGTTACACTTGCTTAGTTATGAATGTGTCATTTTATCGACCAAAGAGTGATGGATGAGTCAACCTCTAGCCATGAGTTGAACGCCACAGACGATTGCAAGACGGCCGCTCTACCTCTGAGCCACACTGGTTCTGCAGGATGAACTGTTACACTCTCAGTTA